ACTGCTGTTTGCTTGTGTTGAAAGACATTGTGTCTCTCCCCTCCCTCCCCCCTTCTTTCCTTCCTTCCTTTCTTAAAACCACCCATGACTCTGGGTGTCCTGTTGTATACAGGCTATTTTTCTTCCAGTACAGATGGTTTCTATAGGAATGTTTTTAGTTTATCCTTTGTCCTGTGATAATTTAGTGTGAAACAGTTGGCAATAGACAGATTGATAAGAGAGAGGAGAATAGAAAGAAATTTATTAACATGCCCACCCATAGGGCACCACCCAAACATGCACAAACACAGACACACCACACACACCACACACACACACATACACACACATATACACACACACCACGTACACATGTACACATACACACACACACACACATATACACTACACATATATTCACACCATACATACATACACACACCACACACACACACACACAGCATATACACCACACATATACTCACACCATACACACATACACACACACACACTCACACCCCCCCCCTTTTAAGGAGTTCTAGATAGATAAGGCTTACAGGGAGCTAAGTGAATGAACAAAGGCTTGGGTTTCTGAGCAGAATAGCCCACAGCAGGCTGGGAAAGCAGCTGGCAGAGGTACACACTGAAACAGGGCCATTTTCTCACACAGATAATCTCCTGAGTAACAGCCACCTGTGGAAATCCCTGAGCCAACTGTCAAGAGCTCCCAGCCTCTTCTTTCTCTGCAAGGATCTTTCCTAGGTGGAAAGAGTGTTTTCAATTAGAAATGTCTCCTTACACCTGGTGGTTATTCAGTCACTAATAAAAATGATGAAACTTGCTTTAGCAAATGGGCAGCCTTTGGGAGTTGATTTTGTCATAGTTTGTCAGAATAGCCAACTTGAAATGTGCCAGAGAAAATTTTGAAGTCCCCAAGTTGATGTCTGTAGGCTGATTGTCCTGGATAGTTGTGTGTCAACTTGATACAAGCTAGAGTCAATGGAGGAGGGAGCCTCAATTGAGAAAATGCCTTCTTAAGATTGGGTTATAGGCATTCTCTTAATTAGTGATTGATAGGAGAGGGCCCAGTCCATGGTGGGTGGTGTCATCCCTGGGCTGATGGTCCTGAGCAAGCCATGAGGAACAAGCCAGTAAGCAGGACCCCTCCAGGTTCCTGCCCTGCTTGAGTTCCTGTCCTGACTTCCTCTAGTGATGACCAGTAATATGGAAGTGTAAGCCAAATAAACCCTTTGTTTCCCAACTTGTTTTGGTCATGGTGTTTCATCATACTGATAATAACCCTAACTATGACACTCATGACGGCTGACTGGCCAGCCCAGGATAAGGGCAAGTCTTCATTGTCATTTTCACTAGATCTAGAAGCTCTGTAGAAGTGTACCTTTAGGTGTATCTGTAATTGTATTTCCAGAAAAGTTTAACTGAGGATGCAAGACCCACCTTGAAAGAGCTAGAATCTCTCAGTGACTCAAGACAGAGAAAGCCAAGCCTTAGCACTTACCTGCCTGCTTCCTGACTGCAGATGCAGTGTGCCTAGCTGCCTTAGGCACCTGGCAACACGCTTTCCCTGCCATGATGGACTATGCTCTCAAGCCGTGAGCCCAAACCAACCCTTCCTTCCTTGGGTTGCTTTGTTAGGCATTTTATCTTGGCCATGAGGAAAGTAACCAATAAATTCTGTCAACCTTTCCCTGGAGGGTAAGGTAATCATGAATGTGACCAGAAGGCTGGCTTCTGATATTTACCCCAACTCTGACAAAGTGTGGAGAGCAAGGAATTCTTCCATGAACCATAGCTGTCTATGAGGACATCTGTCTGGGTAACTGGGAATACTGCAGTGCTTCTTTCTTAGTTAGGGTTTCTATTGCTGTGAAGAGACACCATGACCACGGTGACTCTTATAAAGGAAAACATTTAATTGTGGTGACTTATAGTTCAGAGGTTTAGTCCACTGTTGTCATGGCAGGAAGCATGGTGGTGTGCAGGAAGACATGGTGCTGGAGAAGGAGTAGGAGTTAAGAGACCTACATCTTGATCCAAAGGCAACAGGAAGTGAACTGTCTCACCGGGCACAGCTTGAGCATATATGAGACCTCAAGGCCTGTCTCCACAATGACACATTTCCTCCAAGGCCACACACCTCCTAATAGTGCCACTCCCTTTGGGGGTCATTTTCTTTCAAACCACCACATCATCCTCAAGAATGCCAACTCATTTGGGGATAAAATACTATCCTTCTCAATGAGCCAGAAATGGGAGTCATGTGCAAGGGTATCACCAAGTGCAGCTTTATTCATGTAACATAATCAGTTCTGTCACTATCATTGTGCAAACCTGGCTGTATCCATTCAGTTAAGGTGAGGCTGCTTCTCCTTTCCCATCATTGACGACTGGTGTAGGGTCAGGAACACATCCATGATCAGTAAATGGCCTTCTGTGTCTCCATTCTGTGTCCCTCTGAGGCTTGCTGGAAGTTTTCCCTTGGAGACTGGCTGCTAATTATATCAAGCTGGTGTGGGAATTTAGCTTGAGAGAATGGTTGTTCAAAACTGGATTGTTCTGAAAGAGGGAGACAAGCTCTCCACCTCATTAAGTGTCTTTGTCTTTCTCTTTCCTCCCGATTTCTCCTCTTACACCTCTTTTAGACACTGCCCCTGTCCAACCTGCAGTTTTCATAATACCATGGGGTTTGTGGGAACCGAATACATTGCTTCCAGATCTAACAAAAATAAGTTCTGGCCTCAAGCCTGAAAAGAGGTCACTGGGAACCCAATCAGGGTTGGGCAGCAAGCCCAGTGCAGGCTAATGAGACATTTACAAGCTAGGCCTATTTTTTTTTTCTGTTTGGTCCTCAAGGACTCATTCTTGAGTGGGTTGAATATGTACTGCAGGCAGTACCCAGGATCAAAGAAAACCCAACACATCCCACCAGTTGCCAGCTCCGAGTACTCGTTGGTTCTTGCCATTACTGATTTTCTTTTTAGAAGGTGATCAATTGTGTATGATCCGAAATAGAAACCAGGGTATTATTTATTTAATTTTAGGGTTTCAAAATCACATTTATTTTATGTATACATGTTTGTTGTGTGCAGAATATGTGCAGTAGCACATGTGTGGAGGCCCAGAGGACAATGGTGGGAGTCAGTTGCAGGAAGAGTCATTTGCTGGCTTTCCAATGATAAGGGAGTGGTTATGGAGAAGGGGTGTTGATGGGAAAGGAACAAAAAGTAAGTGCTGAAAAGAACATTCTTTGCTCAGGTGCAGCCTGCTGGGTGTTTGAATAACTGGTAGAGTGTGGTGTGCCATACAGACAGGAGAGCCACTGCGTGATGGTGGAGAGGAAAGAGCTAGATGGCTTTGCCAGCATCCTCAGTCTCTGCCTTAGTATGAGGAAACAACAGAGAGGCATAGGGGCTCCCAGGTAGAGACAAATATCTTTCGAGTCAGCTGCAAGAAGAAACTAAGGATTGCTGCTACATTCCCAGCATCAGCCATGATGCCACTAACTGCTCCTCTGCTGTGATACCCAAATCTCATTTTTAAAAGTTTAACAGAATTAGTTAATTAATTAATTGGTTTTTGTTTTTCAAGATGGGGCTTCTCTGTGTAACAGAGAACAGTCCTGGAACTCTTTGTAGAACAGGCAGACTGGCCTCGAACTTACAGAGATCTACCAGTCTCAGTCTCTATATTTCTCTTACACAGTGAGTTCCAGGATAGCCGCATAGTGAGACCCTATCTTAAAAAAAAAAAAACAACCAAAAACCAATAATAAAACAAAGACAAAGAAAAGATGGTCCTAAAGATTATGGTTTCATTGTCCTGTAGGATGTTGGCCAACTGGTTTAGTTTTTGATGACTCAGATAACACTTAGGATCTATGCTTAGTGCCTCCTTGCTGTGGAATAATCCTTCTGTATAGTGTAAAATGTGTTGCACTCATTGTTAATAAAAAGCTGAGTGGATGATAGCTGGGCAGGAAGAGATTGGGAAGGAGAGCCAGACTAGGAGAATTCTGGGAAGAAGGGCAGAGTCTGGAGTCTTGAGCAGGCGATTCAGGAAGGAACAAGATAGACATATAATACTGAGAAAAAGTTCCAAGCCACTTGGCAAAGCGTAGATAAGAAACATGGGCTACTTTAAATGTAAGAGTTAGCTAGGAACAAGCCTGAGCTATTGGCTGGGCATTTACAGTTAATATTAAAACTCTGAGTGGTTAATTGGGAATTGGCAAGTGGGACAAGAAACTTCTTCCATCAATACTCCCTTCTTCCATCAACACCCCCTTCAGCACTAAGCTAGACCCCAAGCCCACCAGATTGCATTTGACATAAGTAATATTCTTCACATATTTTCCTTTACAAATATCTGTAAATATCTACATCTCCAGGTGTCCTTTGACCAGCTAGACTACCTCCCATCAATAGGTTGAGTGTGAGCTAAGGTGACATTCTGCGTCCATACGAGCTGTGTTTGTAGCTGTCATTCCTCAATAATGAAATACAATCTTTTATCACCTGTAATTATTTCTCCCATTAACGTTTCCCTGCCCGACTTTTCATGATTTTACCATTTATTTCTGCGAAGGCCTCATGTATAATCCTGTCTACGTACTAAAAAACACTTGCTAACAGCTAATAAAAACTCCTTTCTGGTGCAAGTTAATGTGCCAAACTGTCCCTTTTCTTAAAGGAACTTAGCATGAGATTTCTTCACAATAATCAAGGGTTTTTCTGCACTGCTACTCAATAATCTTCCTCCCTCCCTCTCTCCCTCCCCCCTCCTCACCCTCTCTCCTTCCCTCAATCTTCTCTCTCTCTCATAGTGGCACTGGATTTGAACCCAGGGCTTTATGAGTTACAAACGGAGCAAGTATTCACTGTTCTTATATTATTTTGACCTTGAAGTTGCACATAAAACTCATGACAGGAGACTTCCAGATGATGACCTCAGTGTTTCCATATTTCAAACTAGAGTATTTAAAATCAGATTAACAGTGCAAATGATCTTTATAAACATAGATATATTGAATCTCTTTAGAAAACTGTCTAATAGTTTAGTTATGTGGTCAGGGGCCATCAGCAGGAGTTTCCTTTTTTGTTGTTAAGGGAAGTAGACAGTGATGACGGGGCAAGCCGGGTTTGCACTTGAAGGTGGTACTCATCTCTTCCTGTTCTCCACATCTACTGGTTCACAAATGCAGCATTGCCTTTGTCTGAGAACTCTTTCCATGACTATAGTGATTTCCTCAGCATCTCGATCCTAAGATGAAACATTGACCTAAGTGTGGTACCAAGTTAATATATTAGAAATCCAAGATCGGACTCAGCAAGATGGCCCAGTGAGTAAAAAGAACATGTACATTTGATGACCTCGGTTTCGACTCTGGGAACCACATGAAGATAGAAGGACAGAAGTGACTCCAGAAAATGTCCCTTGACATCTACAAAAGTGCCACATCACTCATACCACCCCCTAATCATGCACACCCATCTACACTAACAGTAAAATTGTCAGAAATCAAAGGTTGGGGCTGGAGAGATGGCTCACCAGTCAAGAGAACTTCCTATTCCTCCAGAGGATCCAAGTTCAATTCCTAGCACTGTGTTACATGACTCACAGCCTACTGTAACTCCATATCCAGGGGGTCTGACACCCTCTTTTGGACTCTGCAGGACCTATGTATGTTCACACTGGCACACACATATACACTAGCATGCATGCATGCATGTGTGCAAACACACACACATCACATAAAAAGAAATCTATTTTAAAAATTCAAGATCAAGAGAGACATCCTCATTTGCTGATTGTGTTAGTCAACTTTCTGTTACTATAACAAATACCTGAAGTAAATAAACAAAAAATATAAACAGAAAGTTCCTGGCTTTGCTGCTTTTGGACCCATGATTGAGATAGCACAGAAACACATGGTTGAGGGAGCTTCTGGCTTTGTGGTGTTACTAGAAATTTGGGGGGAGTTGTCATATGATACTGGGGAAAACGGAGTCTCCTGTTAAGGTCCTTAATCTCATAAATAAAAGAATGTAAGAACAGATTCAAATAGAAGCTTAAGGACAATTAAGGAGTTTAAAAGAAAAACACCCAGGGCAGGCAAGTTGTAAATCCTGGCAGCTGCCCAGAAGGGGGGAGCGGGTAAGAAAAGGAAAATACCCATGCCTTTTGAGTCAAGCTGGCACAGAGGTCAGCCGCGTGGCCGGAAGGGGAGCTTCAGAGAAAGATCAAGGAGCTTAAAATGCCAGAACAAAAAAAAAAGCATCTTACAGAAAGAGACAGAAGATAATAAAAAGGAAAAGCTAATCTGAATCAGGACTTCACAGGAGCTTGTGGGACGGCACTGGAGAAAGGCATTCTGGGAAGGGACTGTACATTACCTCATCAAAGAGCTAGATAGTGCTCACCTCCCATTAGCATGGCTTAAGGTGATCCTTCCTTCCTCAGGGTGACCTCATTCTCCTGAAGGGTGGTCCCTTAGCCACGTTACTGACCTGTCCAGCTGGAATGTTACAACAGTCTCCACCCAAACCAGAAATTTCTTTCTCTTGACCAGAAGGAAATAGTTTTCTTTATAGGCCTTTACTGTCACTGTGTCAGTGGCAGCCAGAAAGCAGAGAGAGAGAGAGAGAGAGAGAGAGAGAGAGAGAGAGAGAGAGAGAGAGAGCCACTGACGCTTCACTGACACTCCCTGATGCTTCTTCCCTGAGGCCCCGCCCCTAGAGGCCCCGCCCCCTAGAGGTTTCCACTACCTTCTCAAGTGCCAAACCAGGGCTAGCTAGGCCTTTAGCACAGTGATCTTTAGGGAAAACTTACCCAGACAGAGTGGCTTAAAGAATCGTGGGTCAGAATTAAGGCCAAAATTTTAAAACACTATTTTACTGACCCGTGTGAAACTGACTGATGTTTTTACTGCTAGTGTTTCTCTCATATTGCATATTATATTTACAACCACCCGAATTATAATTTATAACAATTTAGAATAGCCAAACATGTAAGTCCAGATTTACATGTCTTTATGAAAACTAAAAGGAAAGCATTTATCCATTTGTATGTGGGTGTGTGGGTTTCAGCTAGAGTGAAGAGCTTGGAGAGCAACTTTTGGGATTTGGTTCTTTCCTTCCTTGTGTGGGTCCTGAGGCTCCAATTCAGGCCTTCAGACATCTTTACCAGATGACCCATTCCACCAGCCCCACCAAACTATAGATTTTTTAAAATTAAAATGTATTTTGTGCATATGCGTTTTTGCCTGCATGTATGTCTGTACACTATACACATGCCCAGTGCCTGTGAGGCCAGATGAGGACTTTGGATCTGTTATGGTGGAGGTTCTGCCCAAGTTCCCTCCTATCTCTCTCAAACCCTGTTGCATCTCAGAAAGCCCTCCAAATGATGACCCCCTCCCCCAGAGTTGTTCAAGACCACTCCCACGGGGTATTTAAACTGCTTCCCGAAAACAGACTCATGGTTTTTCCTGTCTCCTCTCTGGGAGTCTGGAAAGCCATCTGGGAGCGCTGTATCCATTAAACCTGGGCTTTTTCTAATTTGGTTAGATTTGGATTGCTTCATCTGAGGAGAGGTTTATTGGGTATAGAAACTTTGCAGGATGCCCTGAAACTAGAGCTACCAGCAATTGTGAGCTGCCCTATGGATGCTGGAATTGAGCCACAGTCCTCTGGAAGAGCAGCCAGTGCCCCTAACCAGTGAGCCATCCGTCTCTCCAGCCCTCCCCACTAAAATGTCTTTGATGTTTGTCAGAAGTTCCTTAAAGATATTTTTTGTTTCTCTTTAGGCTACTAAGGGTTCCTAAACAAATGATAAAAACAAACAAAAAAAACCCTTTGCTCTTAACAAAATATCTTCAAGTAAAAAACAAAAACAAAAGTGAGTGTGAGATCACGGGAGCCGGTTTCCAGCACACCTATGCCATGCTTCCGTGTTCTCCTGATCTTCAGAGTGAGACACGTCAAGCAACCAATTGATAATAGGCAATTGTCGTCCAACCTCTCTCCTGGCTTTCACAGCTGCTTATCTGGATGCTAGGGTGTTGTTCGATGTTATCAGGAGGCTGGATCCCTTTAAACAAGCAGTGTTTACATAGTCCTTTACTGAATGATTCTTATGCAACTTTGATCTATAGAAATGGAAGGCTCTTAGAACAAGAAAATTGATGGGGCATTACTATTCTGTGTTTTTACAACTGTCGGTTGGGGAAAAATTATAGCAGCCATATGTGTTTGTAGCTGAATAAACTGAGGGAGAGGTCCGTAAAAACTCATTCCAGAGGTTAGGCTCTTTTTTCTATTAGTCAAGAACACTCCCTGTTCTCTGCCTTCAGGAGCTCTGAGGAAGGCTGGTCAGGATAAGTCACTCATCTTGTTGAACTGTCAGGAGTACTTAATACCTTGAAATAACTGACCTAGAACTCATGAAGAATTAGTAAAAAAAAAAATTGGTTCAGGATTAGCCTTCAGTAAGCATGAAGGCTAAGAGTTTTCATAACTCTTTTCTTGGGTTCTCTGGCTCATTTTTATATTTCTTTCAGCTGTTCCTGTTCATGTGAATTCAGGCTGAGGTTTTTTTTTTTCAAGGGATACTCACACACGGAGTCTTCCTGGTCCACTTACAACGTGGCAAATGGGTGAAGACGACTTTTAGGAACAGAGGGTCTTCCCAATACTCAGAACCTCATCACAAAATGATGTCTACTTTAGGTTCACAAGTTACCTGAAAAGCAGAGTGGGGATGTCCCATTTTCAGAACGGGTCTCCTCATGACACAGCAGAGGGGGGATACAGTGTAAGAAATGGGAAAGGTACGCTGTTCTTCGGAGAAGTGGGTTTTATTCCTTTCATGAGAAGGGCTGAAGAACTTCTGCTTCATCTCTACTACACTCTTTGTGGTCTTTTGTTCCCACTCTGTGGTATTGACCTTGGACATCAGTTCCTCTGAGAAGACCAATCCTCCCGTCCTTCAACTTTGAGTGACGACCTGCTCCTGACTCCCACCCGCCAGTTACAGCACTAGCCCTTTGCCCAAATCACTGGCCACCTTGCAAGTCTCTTCCACTGGACCACAGTTCCAGGAGGACAGATACAACATTGATTTTGTTTGCACATGATAAGCAAGATATTGCTGGAGTCTGGAGGCTGGATGGAGACTTTTAGGGACAAGCTCTATATGCAAAGGAGGACAGCTGCCAGTCCCTTAAATGACTAGCAGTGTGTTTTCAACTCTCTCCCTCTTCCTTCCCTCTATCTTTCTTTTCTTTTTTTTTTTTTTTTTTTTTTTTTTGGAGACAGGATCTCTTGTATCCCAAGCTGGCCTCAAAGTCCTCACGTAGGTGGGGATGACCTTGAACTTCTGATTCTCCTGTCTTTATTTGCTGAGTGCTGTAAATTATAGGAAAGTGCCACCACTCATGGTTTTATGTAGTTTTGTTGCATAAACCAGGACTTTGTGCATGTTAGGTAAAGACGCTTATCAACTGACACACCTCACCAGCCCTAAAGTTTTCTTTGTTTTTCAGTAAAGGCACTTTGGAGAAACTTACAAGAAACCAATCAATGTCACAAAGTCACCTTTCTCTCAATTGTTTTAGCCACCCTACAGAAAACTTTACTCCTTATTATGCTGAAATCTCTGTCCAGGGTTGTTTGTAGCAGCCATCCATCTTTTGTGGAGGGTGGGGATGGGGTGGGGTGGGGGGCATATGATTGTGACCCTAAATTGGTCATGCTTAGGAAAGTGCCCACTTCACAAGTGATAACCAGTCTTCTGTACATTAGCATGCATGCATGTACCAAGGAAAGCTCCTGTGTTCTCTGTTCAAGAAGAAATTGCAAACTGGATATAGTGACACATACTGATGCGTCCAGTTTTTAGGAGTCCAAAGCCTAAGGATCTTGAGTTCAAGTACAGCTTAGCTATATCATGAGATCCTGTCTCAAAATACATGGGATCGGGGAGTGTGTCAAAAGGCAACACAGTACCACTCTGCAAATCAATTCCAGTACCCTCCCTCCCTGCTGTAAGCTGTATACCTGCTTCTACTCCTTTAACTCTTGGCTATGCAAACTCACATCCCTGAACACTTGTCCATCTGTAGTGTGCAAGGATGAATGTGTTGGGTCTGAGGGTTCCCAGGGGCCTGGGGGCTCCGGGCAGAATGGGAATGCTTCCATTTCTACTTTCTTGTTTTCTTTCTCCCCCATGCCACTCTTCACATTCAATATTTAATTTCGGAGAAGATGAATCAAGCCTCGGGAGTGTGCCGTGGGGTCCAGGCAAGACCTACAGAAGGCATTGAGAGGAACTGGTTCCTTACTTGGTTAGTGTGGTGTGGTTGGTGTGTGTGTGTGTGTGTGTGTGTGTGTGTGTGTGTGTGTGTGTGTGTACTTGCTTTATGGCCCATGCCAACCGTACCTGAAGTTTCCACTCTGTTTCTAGCTCCTAATCTGCCCCTGGCTCTCCATCCAGTTCTCCTCTCTGTTGGCTGTTTTGTCAAAGAAAGAAAGAGTCTGGTCGGCTGGCTCTCTTTAGGCAGGTCTATAAGGAAGGTATGTGCTGTGTAATGCATATGGGCCTTGATCTCTTTTAATTCTTGCTTTAGAGAGGAAATGACTCACACTGCAGATAAACTGGACTTGAAAGAATGTCTGGCTTATGCAAAGCCCTTATTTACATACCGGCCTCCCATTCATGAGGAAATGGTTTCTCAAGGACTTTGACTCTGAACTTCCCTTTTATTCCAGTTCTTTGATAGGCCGTGGCCACCCAGACCCCTGGGAGGAGTATCTCTGTCCAACAGGAGTCTCTTCTTCCCCAGATTCTCCTCCCATTGGAGACTGAAGCTTTGTGACTAAGGACCACTTTCCTAAGTTTCTAACTCCTTCAGTCTCAAGAGCCTCTGCTAGCCTGGCTCTGTCTACAGCTTTCGGGTGTGTCTAGGTGGGGCTTGTTCACACACTTCGGGCTCCCTCACTGGGTTTAGTAAAGCCTGGTGGAGCCGAGGTTAGGGGAAGGTGACCCAGAGTCAACCAGCCCTGGCTCCTTTTCTTATTAGCAATATGGGGTGTCTGTTACCTCTTAGCCTGCTTTCTAACCTACCAAGGAATCAAGAGACCAGAACCTCATGCCCTTGTCAGTCCATTAGTTTGAGCTAAAGGGACATAGGAGCAGGTGTGGCATAGGCTTTCTCTGCTCAAAGTCCCACCCACTAAGGAAGAAAGTAATTACCACTAGCCCCTCCCTGAGTTTTCATTAACTCATATCACAGGAAGTGAGACCGTCTGTCAACACACCTGGACGGACTTTGCCACACACAATTGTCTTCTATTTTTAGTTCCCTTCAATATTCCAAAGAGATTTATGCTTCACTGCTATGCAGGCCCAGTCTCATTCCAACATGTTCCTTCCAAGTCCCCAAAGTCACCTAAAAACCATTACTATTTGTCTAAAAATTGTCTAGTTTCTTTTCTTCCCTTCCCCTATAGAGAAGCGGTTCAAGTTGAAATTTCCAAGTCCTCTTGTGCCAGAGGTTAACTGTTTTGAGTGTCTTTTCTCCAACTAGTTTGTCTTTGTCAGTTTATTCCAGTTTATCCTTGAATG